TGGGAGAATAGAAGGGCTGTGGATGTACAGGGAGACAGCTTGGAGGGCAGGAGTGCATGAGAAGGAAGGACAGAGCAAAGAGGTAACTATGGGGAGGAAGTGGGAAGGAAGTTGTTGCATTGTGGGAAATTACAGTCAATGTCATGAGAACTGCTGTATGGAAGATGAATTTGCTCTGTTAACTTTCACCCAAATCACAATAAAAATTTAAATAATAATAATTGTGCATCTACCAAAAGAAAAAAAATTACAGGCAAGAAAACCCTGTGGGGCAGTTCTACTCTGTAACACATGGATCATCATGATTTGAGGGCCATGAGCCAACAACAACAACAAAGGGAGAGGAAGAAGCAAAATTCCATAGAACAAAAGTGGCCAGACTGTAAAGGCGAGAAAGATGAGAAAAATCATGGCATGTTCATTAACTTGAAAGGACGATGTAGAGAGTCAAGGAAGAGTGACACAAGATGGTCTGCAGAGATCCAGATTATGTAGAGTCTTGTTAAAGCATGTAAAGCATTTTTCATTTGAGTCTAGAAGTAATGAGAAGCAACTGAAGGGTTAAATACAAAATGGCAAGCTTCAGCTTAGATTTGACTGCAGAGGAATGTGTGCATATAGGAAAGAAAAGTAGCGCAAAGGTCAAGCAAGGTAAGAGTGGTTTTCACTTGGGTGACTGCAACTGGGACAGGTGGAGAAAAGTGACTATTACAAGAAATAGTTAGGAAGTAGAACCAGTAGGACTCTAAGATGGGGTTGAATATAAGGGGTAAGGGAGAGAAGTAGTCAAAGCTAACTGACAGACTTCTGGACCAGCCGGTCAGCATTTATTTGAAGTACGGAACACCTGACAAGGAGCATGTTTTGGATGAAAGATGACATGATGATCTTGCATGGCAATAAAATAATCAAGTAGAGATAATTAATCTGTATTTGAAGCTCAGTAAATAGGTCATACCAATTCAGATGGAAATTGAACCCAAAGGGGTGGATGAGATCGCTATGGAATAGATCCCTATGGAGAATGGAATGTGAACTATGACAAAAGAATTAAACTGCTTTACAAACATTTGAAATAATCTCACTGAAGGAGTGAAGAGGAAAGTTGCTAACCTAAGTTACCTAAGTAACTTTAGAAATGAGTAGGGTCTTTAAGCGTTTGAGTTGGTTTGGGAGGGTCTTTCAGACTAAAGGCAAACCTACACACAACACTGGAGCTCTGGTGGTATAGTGCTTAAGGTGTTGGCTGCTCACCAGGAGGTTGGTGCTTCAAACCCACCAGCTGCTCTGTGGAAGAAAGATAAGGTGGTCTGCTTCCATAAAGATTTACAGCCTTGGAAACCCAATGGGGGTCACTGTGAGTCAGAATCAACTTGATGGTAGTGAATTTAGTTTTGGGCTAGTTGTTAAAGTTTTCGAGGCATGGATTAACAATTCTGATACTGCTGTACATGTATAAGGAAAGTGAACGATTAAGTAAATGGATAGCAAAGGGTGGAATAGGAGGTTACAAACGAACAATGGGAAGAGGCTAAAATGATTCAGACAATACTGGATTAGAGTTAAGAGACATCGGCATGAATTCGTGATTAGTTTAATGTGGATGTAAATGATTACATATAGAAATATTTGTAGATGCATATATACTTGGGTTACTACACACACATATATTTCCTTGTTCTGTCAGCTAACAGGGCCTGGAAGCAACAATACCCCAAACACCCAAATTTTGGTTCCTAATACTATTCTCCAATTAAAAGAACCTGAGGAGAAATGGCTGCATCTAGCACTGGTCAGGGAATATATAAGCTGAGCCTGGAACATCTTGTAGTGTCAGAAAAGAAGTATTTTTTAAAAAAGAAAGGAGTACAGAAGCCAAGTGGAAGAACTCATCATGGCCAAATCTGAAACATTTTGAGCAATAAAAACAAAGTAGCATTGAATTATAACCCAAAGTATAAAATATACATCCATAAGTCCATGCTGATATAGGTAGTTGGATAAATAAATAAATGGGGACAAATTCCTTTCTTGTGAAAAATTCTAAACAATTTAAGTGCTGATCCCTCAAGGAGATGCAGCATAACTCCTACCCTTTAAGTGTGGGCTGCCGCATAGTGACTTCCCTCCAGAGTATAGTACTGGGAAGCTGGGGGGAGGGGTGAAAGTAACTCTAAAATGGGAGAAGCTGACAAACACTATGTCAACCAGATGATCAAGATTAACCTCAACAGTTTTAAGTCCTGTTGATAGTATCAACCCTTGATATGCTATAATAAAAATGATCCTTTATTTCTCCGGTCTTTCCAAAAAAAAAAAAAAAAACGTTGTTGTTAGGTGCCATCGAGTCAGCTCCGATTCATAGCTACCCTATGTACAACAGAACAAAATACTGTATGGTCATATGCCATCCTCACAATCCTTGCTATACTTGAACCCATCATTGCAGCCACTGTGTCAATCCATCTTGTTGAAGCAACAGTCAAGAAATGAGATGCCATATTGTTGTTGTTCCTGTTAGGTGCCGTAGAGTCGTCTCCAACTCACAGTAACCCCATGCACAGCAGAACAAAACACTGCCTGGTCCTGTACCATCTCCACAATCCTTGCTACACCTGAGCCCATGTTGCAGACAGTGTCAATCCATCTTCTTGAGGGCCTTCCCCTCTTTCATTGACCCTCCACTTTACCAAGCGGATATCCTTCTCCAGGGAAAGGTTCCTTCTTACAACATGACCAAAGTAGGTGAGACAAAATCTGGCCATTCTTGCTTCCAAGGAGTGACGGAATACCCATAACAAATGGATGCCGCGCTGAAGGTACTCACTTGGCTATGCCAGAAGATTTGGGAGACATCTACCTAGCCAACTGACTGGAAAACATCCAGATTTGTACCCATTCCAAAAAAAAGTGATCTCACTAAATATGGAAATTATCAAACAATATCATTAATATTGCATGCAAGTAAAATCTTATTGAAAATAATTCAAAAATGGTTGCAGCAGTATATTGACAGAGAACTTCCAGAAATACAAGCTGGGTTCAGAAAAGGACATGGAATGAGGGATATCATTGCTGATATCAGATGGATCTTGGCTGAAAGCAAAGAATACCAGAAAGATGTTTACTTGTGTTTTATTGACTATGCAAAAGCATTCGATTGTGAGGATCATAACAAATGGTGGATAACATTGAGAAGAATGGGAATTCCAGACACTTAATTGTACTCATGAGGAACATGTACATAGATCAGTAGGCTGTCATTTGAACAGAACAAGGGGATACTGCAGGGTTTAAAATGAAGAAAGGAGGGCATCAGGGTTGTATCCTTTTACATACTTATTCAATCTGTATGCTGAGCAAATAATCCGAGAAGCTGGACTATATGAAGAAAAACGTGGCATCAGGATTGGAGGAAGAATCATCAACAACCTGTGATACACTGATGACACCTCTTTGCTTGCTGAAAGTGAGGATGACTTGAAGCACTTACTAATGAAGGTTGAAGAATACAGTCTGCATTATGGATTACACTTCAATACAAGGAAAACAAAAATTCTCACAACTGAACCTATAAGCAGCATCAAGATAAATGGAGAAAAGATTGAAGTTGTGAAAGACTTCATATTACTTGGTTCTACAATCAACACCAATGGAAGCAGCATTCAAGATATCAGATAACATATATCACTGGGCAAATCGGCTGCAAAAGATCTCTTTTGAGTGCTGAAGAGCAAAGATGTCTCCTTGAGGACTAAGGTGTGCCTGCCACAAGCCATAGTATTTTCAATCGCCTCATATGCATATGCGAGCTGGACAATGAATAAGTAAGCCCAAAGAAGAGTCAATGCTTTTGCGTTGTGGTGCTGGCAAAGAATGCTGAAAGTACCATGGACTGTTAAAAGAACTAACAAATCTATCCTAGAAGTGCAGCCGGAATGTTCCTTGGAAGCGAGACATCATATAGCACTGGGAAAATCTGCTGTGAAAAACTAAAGTATTAAAGAGCAAAGATGTCACTTTGAAGACTAATATGCCATGGTATTTTCAATTGCTTCATATGCATGTGAAAGCTGGACAATGAGTAAGGAAGATAGAAAAAGAGCTGATGCCTTTGAGTTGTGGTACTGGTGAAGAATACTGAAAATACCATGGACTGCCAGAAGAAGGACAAATCTGTCCTGGAAGAATTGCAGCCGGAATGCTCCTTGGAAGTGAATGGCCAGACTTCACCTCACCTACTTTGGTCTTATTGCCAGAAGGAACCATTCTCTGGAGATGGGTATCATGCTTGGTAAAGTGGAAGGTCAATGAGAATAAAAAGAAAATAGCCTCAGTCTAATCATGAGGAAAACATCAGGAATATCCCAACAGATATTTTACAATATATCTGACCAGTAGTCCTCAAAACTGTCAAGATATCAAAACAAGGAAGTTCCAAAAACTATCAGTCTAGAGGAGCCTAAGGAAACGTTAGAACTAAATGTAATGTGGTATTCCAGATGGAATCCTGGTATAGAAAAAGGATATTAGGTAAATATTAAAGAAATCTTAATAAAGTATGCCCTTTAGTTTTTTAAATTGATAAATGAAAATGATACACTTTTATCAAGTATTCGTTTAATACATTTTACTTAGCTTACTATGGGTCTGGCACTGTGGTGGGGCTGGGGACACAAAGAAAAAAGGTAAGTGCCCTAAGCACAAAAACCAGTGATTCATGCAAAATAAACTGATACACAGAACAGCAAACTGTATCTCCTGGGGCAGTAAGAAAGGTTTGTAGCGGGAGGAATATATCAAATAATCGTCCAATAACTTCGGTCAACCAAACCAAACGACTCACCAACTCACCGCTGGAGGTCCCCCTTCCACCTCCCAGGTCAGCCCCACTCTCTGCCCCTCCCCTATTCTTCCCCCGAGATTTTGCAATATAAGGTTGGCTGCCTGGCAACCTACTATACGCATGCGCATCATCTGTTCGACGATTCTGCCCATCGATGCGCTCTGTAGCAACTTCTTCAGCCTCATCACTCGACCAGCTTAAGGCTCCATCATTGCTGCAGTCGCCGCCGCCATTTTGGCGACGGGAAGAGTCAGGGTCTGGGACAGCTGGAGTCGTCGTTGTTTACCGGTATGGACGGTTCCCGCCTGCCTTAGAACCTCCAAATTCGCCCACCTTCGGGCCACACTCTTTGTATTGCCCTTATTCCCTAGTCGCTGTCCCCAGCCATGCTGTCACTGTCGTTGGTAACTTTTTGCTTCCTCACTCTTCAGCTCATCTGGAACCTTCTGTCTGTTACCAGACAGCCTTGAGCTATGTTAAAACACTTGCTTTGGACCTCAGAACTTTATACCTTGGCCGCTAACTTTGCACTCCCCGCCCTGAGCTAGTCCAAGTTGTGTTTCAGCGGCCATAAACCCGAGACCTCAGGGTTGCAGGGCTTCCTCAGGGCAGGAGTTTGCGCACTCTCCTTCTGTGCCCTAGTGGGCGACTTCTGGGCTCCCCGCGGTTCCGGGAGGGCTTGGGCTTTGGTCCTGTTGTAGTGGAGGGACACACTGTAGGAGATGGTGAACATAACCCGAGCCGTCTGATGTTAGAGCTTAATTTGTCAGTAGCCTGTTTTGTTTTGTCATTTTCCAGGGTTAGCTTTCCAAAAGGAAAGAGATTTTGCGACTGCTGTCCGCGTTCAAAATGGCCAATGTGAGTAAATTAGTTAAGTAAGAATCGTAATCAAATAGTTTGGGGACTTGTGAAGTAATGGAAGGGCGGTTTTATTGCCACATTGGTGGCATAATGTTTCTGCTGATTCGACTACTGTGTTAAAATATCAAGGCGAGCAAGGGGTGTGAAAATAGGTTGTGCTTTGAAGGTAGTTTGAATATAAACATACTGTTTACTAGAAGTGTATTTATTTCCCAGAAATAGAGATTCAACTCAAACAACTTTTGAATATTTTTAAAGCATTATTTCATTAAGTATTTACATATATTTAAACTTTTTTTATGTCTTTGGTTAAACTGAAGATTTTGTAAGCTTAGTTTCATTATAAGTAGTGACCTTCCAGATCCTGCAAAATGGGAATAAGGTATATTATTCACACAGGCCAGAGATAATGATTGATTGTAGCACAAACGTTGTTGTTAGGTGCTGGCGTCGAGTCGTCTCTGACTCACAGCGACCCCTCCTTGGGTTTCCGAGGCAGTATAATCGCGGAAGTAAATTGCCCAGCCTTCCTTCCCAGGAGTGACTGGTAGAAAATAAAAATTTCATTTAAGAAGCTATACTAAAGGTTTCCATATAGATTCAGAGCTTTGTATAGAGGGGAGATCAGGAACCTGGGAATCACCTAATGGGAAAAACAGTTCACTTGAATTTTGAAAGATTAATAGGATTTAGATATCTGAGGTTTGGGTGGGAGGAGGAGGAGATGCTCAAAGAACTGCTTTTCTTTCAAAAATCAGGATGTCCCTTCTCCCTGATTGTATATAAGATTTGTGAAGATTAGTGGGAGATGTGTGAACTTGAGGCCAAGTTATAACCTTGAATACAAAGTCAATAATTTAGACTTTCTCCATTAGATTGGGATAAGTCATTGAGGATTTTGCTTAAGAAAGTAATTTTACCAAACTTGGGGATTTAGATCAAAAAAAAACAAACTCAGTGCCGTCAAGTCAGATCCGACTCATAGTGACCCCTCTTTGGGTTTCTTAGGCAGTATCACTTCGGAAATAGATTGCCCAACTTTCAGGGAATGGCTGATCATTTAGATATTATTCTTTAAAGTGGGGTAATTCATTGAGAATTTTACCCAACAAAGCAGTTTGATCAGAGCTGTACATTAAGATTAATGTGGCAACAATTAGCCAGGATGTATTACTGTAATAAAACACAGTATATTAAGCAAGAGTCTAAAAGTGTGACTGACAAGACTAGACCAATGTTGGCCATGTTTTAAGGTGATTATGTAGCCATACCTGGACAGAAAGGGAATTGTATAAAAGAAGTATGTGGTACTCTCAAAACAGAAGCATTAATTAAAATAGAACGGTAATGTATTTGGCCTAGCTTGATTTTGGTTTAAATGAATAAATGAGTTCAGTGGGGTGAATACTTTGGATAGCACTTTTATAAATTATTTTGTTAGAAATTTACATTAAAATACATTTTAAATTTTTGGTGGCATAGTGCCTAAGGCATTTGAGTGCTAACTAGAAGGTTGGTGGTTCAAGCCCACCAGCTGGTCTGCGGAAGGAAGCTGGGGCAATCTACATCCTTAATGATTTACCGCCTCAGAAACACAATGGGGGTCACTATGAGTCAGAGTCAACTCAATGGCAGTGAGTTTGATTTTGATTTTTTTTTCCTAAGTACTTTAAAATTCTTTGTGTTAATTTATATGCATTATGAATTCTGAATGAGTGTTTGTAATGCAATATACAGAAATGTGTGCCTTCAACACTCTGGTTAACATATATAGTAAAGTTCATAAATGTCTGTATTTCAGATGTTGTTGTTGTTACTATGTGCCGTGGAGTCGGACTCGACTCATAGCAACCCCTCCTGGGTTTCTGAGGCAGTGTCACTATGGAAGTAGATTGCCCCATCCTCCTTCCGAGGAGTGGCTGGTGGATTTGAACCGCCAGCCTTCTGGTTAGCAGTCAAGTGCCTTAGGCACTACGCTACCAGAGCTGCCGTGTTTCAGACATTAGGCAGGATAAATTAAGAAGCCCAGATAGGGACTGTATGATACTGAAATCTGCATTTCTGATATAAAGAGAGCAGCCTTCCCTTCCCTTCCCTACATGATTCATTGCTAACTAATGCCATTTGGGAACA